GTACTAGGCACCCAAAGTCCAGCGATGGATTTACTGCCTCGGCACTCCTAAGCAGCACAGGACTCAACCGGCGACGTGCCTTTCCTGGCTCCGCTGACAAGGTTTGCGTTGCCGCTTGTATTTATGGGCATTTTTCTGTTAGGCAGGAGCCACGCCACGAGCAACCCGCCGGCGGTGAGCAAGCTCAGGGGTCAGGTTTTCCCGGCTGCAGAGTCATGAGCATTGCCTGATCTCTCACGGTTTGGGTTTTTTTGATAGACATTTGGTCTCCAAAAATCTAAGCTGCAAATCCAGGACTACTCCTCTGCTCTTCCAGCTGGTCCCGAGACGGAGCTGGGCGGAGAGCAGGTCCCCAAGGGGAGATGCCTCTTCCCTGGGACCGCCACGGCCTGAATCGAGTCGCAGCCCCTGTAAGAAGTGTAAGGAGGCTTTTGGTTTTGGTTTTTTTTGTAAATAGATGATTCTCCAACCTGAATCTACTACCTCTGCTGGCAAAGGAAGTTAAAGGGTTAAACAAGACCCGCCGAAGTATTTTTTTTTAAAGCTACGGGACTTATGCACTGAAACATAGAGAAACAAGTAGATTTTTAGCTTAGAAAGAGCTGAAAGCTGTTTCCTTCTATTACCCTGCTTGTACCTGGGCTGCACGCCTGCCGTCACCGTGAGCCGTGCCCCCAGAGCCTTGACCCGGCAGGGCACAGGACGAGCAAAGACCAAGAGCTCCCGGCCGGCGACAGACGTGCAAGGGCACCTCACACACAAGTGACTGGCAGCCCACGGTTTCTCGGAAATTGCACAAATCCGAAGCTGTTTTCTAGTAATTAGCCAGACCCTCCCTTCATGAGATGCTGGACACCAGATCAGCTCTCGCTCTGCCTGCTCACCCACCAGACTTCACGGCTCCAGGTCTGAGGAGCATCCGCACCAAGGGGACAGCGAGGGGGGAGGCGGGGGCAGATCTCCGGCCGAGGAAGCCAAGTGAGCGAAGCGGGAGCGATGTCCCAGCTGAAGATACGCTGAGTGGCGTTTGGAGGGGTTGGGCACATCTCGCTACCGCAGAGCCGGGCCATCAACCAGGCGTTCGAGCCCTTGGAGGATCCGTCTCCAGCACAGGGCAGCGCCAGAGCTCTCCAAGACTCATCGGAAATGCCTCTCAGCGTAGCAGGCGAAAGGTACACAAACCCAAAGTTAATTCACAGCTAAGTGGTTTATAACTGAGCCAAAGAAGAGCCAGGGATGCCTGTGAGACGTTCTGCTCTGCAGCTCTTCCAGACGGTTGGATTTTTCCAGCAGGTCATTTCCACGGTAGCAAGAGAAACGAGGCCGACTGCCCTCTCTTGCTACCAGCACTGCTACCACGGGCGGTACCACGTGTGTTTGCGAGGATGGATGACGGGTGAATGAGTGAGGGAAGGGACAAAAGCTATGCTTGAGCTTCATATGGTAACAGGCACCCTTCTCTATGTGCATTAATTCAGCGTGGAAAAAAAATCAAGTGTGTTTGTTATGATGTGCCTGTACTGCTGTATAAAGCTGCGTTACGTGTTTTGCTACGTTCAGATTGATGTGCTTCCAAAAAAAAATAATAAATAATACCAGTGTGTTCCAACCCGTGTTTGTCCTGGAGATCAGAATCTCCCAGACTCCTACGCCCATGGCTGCAGGAGGCTAAGCACTGTAAGGAAGTACTCCAAGTATTTCTAGCAAGTAAACCAAAGTTTAAAAACCCTTAAAAGACCTGGAACAGATTAAAATGAAAGTGACTGGGGGGTGATAAGCAACTCTCCATTGCAATATCTGAACACCAAGGTCTCAAAACAAGGGCCAGAGGGTAGAACAGAGGTAAGCAACAAGGTAAGTCTGAACGGCAGCGTCAAAACTGCACAGGACAGCTGGATCAGAGTTCTGCAGGGCGAGCTCCTGGCTCAGCCACGACGGAGAGTCCAGCAGAGCTTCAGCAGCAAGATATTCTAAACAGAACGAAAAATACGGGAACTCGCGAAGTCTAGAAGGCTTTGCTACAGGGAGAGGCTGAGAAATACAGTACCAGTGAGGAACAGCAGGAGTACAAATCTTTATTAAAAATAAGATCCTATAAAATAAAATAGGAAAGCAAAGGCCTTTTTCCACTCGCTTCCTCCCTGCATGCTTCTGTTGCTTCAGGTTACTTCCATGGCTTGAGTCCTTAACGAAGACTAGAGTTACAGCAAAGTCTATGCCGGAAAACAAGGAATTAGGCCAAGTAACACAACTGCATAGAGGCAACATGGAGAGAGAATTTTCTCGGCCATCTACAAAAAGGCAGACATCTCAGAGCATCTGTAAAGTGCCGGTGGATGGGAAGATTGGGAGGTGTCACATAACTCTTCCACACCTGGAAGAAAGAAAACTTGGGATGCAAATCACCTCACGCCTCCCTCAGCAGGCTGCTCTCAGGCCAAGCCCCACTGAACGCCCTGAACAGCGGCTGCTGAGGCACGAGACCAGGGAAGCCTTGCTCTGGCCTGTCCTCTCACTAACAGATCCCTCCACAGACAATTCAAAGTTTTGAGATCATCTTTTCCTGGAGGCAGCTCGCTTCAAGTCAATCCTTGAAAGCTCCAGCGTAAGTCTAAGGCACTGCCCAAAGCCCTCCACTAGCCAGAGGGTTTCGTACTCTGCCTTACCCGCTAGCTCCAGGTCACTGCACCAGTCTGTAGGTGATGTAGCGGCCCGCAGTCTCGCTCGGTCTTATGATCTTCACTACCTAGAAGGCCGACAAGAGGAACTAGTGAGGGAGAGAAGCTGGCGGCGAGTTTCCCCTGCAAAGCCTCCCTGCCTGACCCAGGCGCACACTCAGACCCAGACAGGGTGGCTGGAAAGCTGCGGCACCCAGCAGCTGCAGAGACAGCCGGCGCTGAGCTCCCTGCTTCAGCTGAGGGTGCAGCGTGGAAGTGTCGACCCCAGTGCAAGGGGAGGGGGAGATCACGGAGCGCAGGGCTGGCATCACATCTGCCCTCTGTTACCAGCTGACTCAGCAGGCAGCCAAGGCTGCTGTGTCCTTGCTAGATGTCTGCTCGGCTCGCACACATCCGCACCTGACCTGCAACAGCTTTTACATTTGAAATAGATACCTCTCCTGTCTCCAAGAGTTCTCAAATACTGTAGAGGACCTCCCCTCCTTGCCCTGCCCACAGGGAACTGCTGCCCGAGTCTCTCTCTCTCTTACCTGACCACGCTTTATTCCAAAGTACCGGGCCACAGGATCGCCGGCCTGTATCCTCGGGAGCTGGTTCTCTCTCAGCTTACTGCGCAGGGAGTCAAGGAGGAACTCGCCCAGCAGAACACACAACTGGCCCAGGTGCCCGTTCGTTAGCACAGCTCACGGAACAAAATAATAAACAGTCACACGCGGATGTATTCATTTTCAGCCCAAAGCAAGTATGCATCACAGCCAAGCAGGAAGGGAAGGAACAAACAAAGGATACTATCTGGCCAGTAGCTCAGTTACTTCTTCCTTTGTCATGACAACGTGCTCCGGGACCAACTGTAAACGACAGGGGACAGAGACTGTAAGATCAGAAAGCGAGAGAAAGCGACTGGCTCCTCACAGTGGCGAGAGAAGCAGCACGTTTGTAAGGAAGAAAACGACGACTGCGTCACTCCGCGCAGCCTCTCAACGGAGAGAAGGTCTCTGCGAGCAGCTCCAGCTGCAGCTCAGCACAAGACCGATCATCCCGCTCTTGGCTCCACTGCCTGACGCCGCTCACCTCGTGTTCTGTGATGTTGATCAGAAGCTCTTGCTGCAGGAACTGCTCCAGGATGTATTTGGGAGCCATATCTACCAGGGACTGGAAAGGACAAGGTCTGTCAGATGGCAGCACTGCTCTGGGACAGCCCTGCCTGTGATCAGATCCACTCCTCGACGAACACCAGTCACTGCAAGTGCGGGATCACCACACTTGTGCTCACCCAGATTCAGCTACACAGGCAAAGACTGCACAGATCTCTTGACCAGTGCCAAACATCCCCTTTTCTCTCGTCCACCTCCTGACTACTCACGGGCCCTCAGCTGTTCTTCTGGGACCAGAACCATTCGTTCTGGTTAAATACACTCTGACGTTAAGCAAGAGCCTGCATTAAGGTACAACAGGCTTTAGCAAAAGATTTTATCTGGAAGGAAATTCTAGGCTTTTATTTACCTAAAGCAGCACTGAAAAACGGGCAAAACATCCACCGTTCACAATGAGCCTCCGGCTTGGAGATAGCCTTCGCTTACGGTACTTTGTACCTGCTTTGCCGAAGGGGTCATGCCTTGCTGTACCACGATCAGCGCTCTGGTGATGTTCTCCTCCTGCATCCTCTGGCAGTACATCTTGATCGTCTTGATGCCAACCTTGGGCTCCTCTGCGAAAGGAGTCAGCCCCAGGGTTACAAAGACCCCTCTCTCGTTCCATTAACCCCTCCAGAAAGCCAAGCCAGCCCTGCTGCCGCTCAACAGGCTCTGCTCACCCGGGAAGAAGACGAACATCTGGTCGGTGGGATCGTCGTTGTGAGCCACCAGCACCGTCAGGTCCGTGCGCCGGGGCCGGCCCTCGCTGGGCTTGTCCCCGAACTGCGCCTTGAACTCCTCCAGCGTCTGATCCAGCTCGTCCTGGGTCACCAGGTAGCCCCGGT